TTTATAGAGGCAGGCGGATAATCTCCAAACTGCTTGTTGCTAAGGTAGGTGTTGATGTTTCAGGTGAGTGCTTCTCTTTCCATAACCATTCTTAGAATTTTGCACGAGTGGCTCTGATGTATAAAGCTCCACCTGAGCTCAGATACATCTCTGTTGGCTCCTAATGCAAGCATATCTTAACCTATAATCATCATTTCTGCATTCATATTTTAGTTACTAAATATTAACTTAACATAGTTTATTTATTATTTATTTGTTAGGATGACTGTATAATCTGTCTTATTCCATAATTCGTCTTGCATGTGTTCAAGGCTTACTTGTGATATTTGATTTTTTCAAAAGAGAAACAGACAATATCATATCAACAAATAACTCGTAGGTTACAGTGTGGCAAGTTACATATGTGAAGTAAAATGGTTAAGTGGGCCACCCGTAGAATTTTGGAAATATTTCGTTTTTGGGACTGGGATTTTGCTGTTGGTGCAATAATGTCTGACTCCAGATTTTCAAAAGACTCATTATAGTTAAAGGGGTAAAGCAAAACTAATGTTATGGATTGTGATGCCCTGGCACTGCCATTCACATTCGGTCGATGCGCGTTAGGCTTCTTTGGAGCTCTGTCATGGAAATATTCAGCAATAACTTTGGAATTGTGTCATAGGAGTTGGATTGTGTTGGTAAAAAAAAACTTCTGTACTTTTTTGTTTTTGTCTAATTACCTAGGATGGAGAGGTTGTTTTATTGTTGCCTGGTTGATAACATTTTGCATAAGCTCGTTTGTTCGTACGAGCAAAAGAATGGTAATTTTCTGTATGTTCATTATTTTCATACATCTCTTTTGGCTCTGTTAAGTGTTTTATAGAAGAGTAAGATAACATTTGAAACTCGAGATTATAGATTCTAACATCCCTCGTCCCAACAGTTCAATAAAAGCTGTTTGAATGTGAACTGGATTTTTAGGCTACAAACCGCCATTTGTTGACTGAAATCGAGTTTTCAATTTATGGATTGATATGTACTATTCCTGAAAACATTGTGTATACGTTTCCATGGTGGGATTATAACACTATTTTAAGTCGCCATATAACTAGACGCTTGTAAACATTTCAAACATTTCAAAGATACATCAATTTATGGATTGTATTGATGTTGATATCAATTTCTACTAATAAATTTCATTTCATAATCAATGAAATGGAAAAGATGGAAAAAAAAAAAAAAAAAAGTGCAACGCATGTTTCAAATGCAAGGTTCTAAGGAGGACAAGATGTTTCCAATATCATTTGCGGGGGAAAAGAATCGGTGAATCATTGTGTCAAAACTTAACGAAACCCATGATATTGACCGCCCTTTCAGAACTGCCATGGGTCACCCAGTTAAATTTACATAGTAGTGGCGGCCAAACCTCCCCAGCGACTCTGGATGAAAGGAACTTACGATGCGAAAACAGAGCATACGCAGCTGTATTTACAACACCTTTCATTGTGTATGCGGTGGTGCTGGTTGTACGTGGTAAGGCGGTCCATGTGTTGATGGTGCGCGTGCATATGTATCGACGCCAGCTCCTCCCTGAACCTGAAACAGATCCACATCCAATATTATGGAGGTGTAGAGGGAGATTTGATAACTATAATTGAGAATACATCTAATCAATCTGCGACACAAATAGATAGAATGGAACACTTATGCTACCAAAATGAGTTTAGCTTAGTGATTAGGACACAACTTCCTTTCTTTGAGGTTGAGGCCCCACCTCTGCATTCAATCTAACTCAACAGAAACAAACCCTATGCATGACACACTCCAAGTTAAAATTGTGAGATCCCACATTGGTTTGAGAGAGAAATAAATCATTACTTATAATTGTGTGGAAACCTCCCCCTAACAGACGCGTTTTACAACTGTGAGGCTGACGACAATACATAACGGACCAAAGCGGACATATCTACTAGCAGTGGGCTTGATCTATTACAAAAATCCTAGGTTTCTCCTTATCCATTCAAGGGTTGTTATAATAGTCCCAACCCAAAATTCCACCTGTTTTAAGTAGCAAGAAACTAAGTGCATGTTCCCTCCTATAAAACTTATATTTTCCATTAAAAAGGAGCATCCTTGTTGCTGGTTCATAGCATTGGTCACATAAAGGTATGGTTGGAAATGCTTTTTTCAGTTACAAGATCGTCATTCAAGTGTTTGATAACCGAATCTTTAGATGCTCAGTGCTCTTCTCTTGCTAGTCAAACACTATGGCTGAAAGCACTCTGTAAGTACTTTTTCAAAAGTTGTTTTTATATTACTTTCAAACACAATACTTTTGAGTCGGGAGTGAATTTGGCATCCCAAACATAGCCTAAGTGGAATGGTTACTTATAGTTGGTAGTTAAACTTCATGTTCCAATGCCCTTGAATGGTGTTTACCAAGAGTCAAGGCAATACCAGCCCTGCACTAAATTGTTGAGCCATGAAACTAATACAGACATAGAGCAGATACCTGATGCATGCCATAAGGGTCAGAGGGATATGAGCTCCCGCTGTATCTCATGTCTGGATGGCCATAAGTTGCAGCATAACCCGGAACTGAATGAAATTGCATTGTAAAGAGAGTCAGGGACAAAAAGAGGATGATGCATAGGTTACCTAGGATGGAAAACAGGCTTACAAGGACTCGTTACAGCTGACGCAGCCCTCGCTCTCTTTTCAGCATTGGCCAGTTCAGCATGCAATTTTTCAACTTCCTGGGACATGGAAACCATACCCTTTTCCATTGCCTCACTCTGCTCAAGATTACTAGCGTGTGTTCTTTTCTCATATTCAATAGCAGCCCTGTCCAGATCAACAGCACATAGCAAGAGGTAAATGCCAAATCTCAATTATGCTTTCAAATAAAAATAACACTCCACTGCATTTCTTCTGCATAAAAAGAACGATTCTACCAATTCTTTTGTCCACTCTGTTACAAAATATCATGCTGTTTTGTCTTACAATCAACAAGCAAGAAGAAACAATGGAGTTAGCTATAGAAAATGATGAAACTTTCACATGCCCATAATCCTCAAATGAAATTAACTTACACTTTCATTCCACTAAATTTTTTTCTTCCATTAGCTTTTTGTTGAAAGATATTCTTTTTGATTCTAATGGTTCAAGTACCTTCATGATATTTAATACAATATTTGTGTGAAGAGAATTGTGCCAGTCTAGTAGTAGACAAGACCTATTGTTCATGCAATAGGGTCCTAGGATCTAATATTAGGCAAGACATAGTTTTAGCACCAAGTGAACAGATATTAGGACTGTTTCCTTGAACAAGCATACTTCTTTTTATTTGTAGGATGAGATAGTCTTAATGTTCTTGAACCATGCCTTACAAAAGTAGCCTCTCATGTAAACACATATTAATTTGGGACTTGAAATCAACCACTACGAAGAGGTGTCACTTCTTCAAAGCTATAGCAATGTCGATAACATAAACAACTAGACCAAATGAACAAACTTTAGGAGTTTTGATTGGTTCAAGTAGGTACCAACTTCCAAAAAATTGAAAGAGAAGACATTAGCATCACAGCATTAAGGCTCTAAATTTGAATTGATTATTTGATATCTTCTTTGCGGCGAAAACATATAGATATAGAACAATTAGAATGGAGTATCTCAACAATCAAATTCAGGAACAAGAAAAGGGAGAGACCTTGACAGCCAACTCAACATATATTGATGCTTTAATTTGAAGAGGCAATTTCGAGCCATAACGGAGAAAGAGATAACAAGAACAACTTCCTAAAAGAAAAGCATCCAAAGGAGTAATCAAAATTTACCTTCCTCTTTGAATTTCATGGTGCATTCTATCAATTTCACCTTTAATGGGCGGCAATGGCTGTGAGTCAGAGGAGGCTTTAGTAAGGCCGTCGCGAACTGCTTGCAACTCCGCCGTTAACTCTTGCTTGACGGTACTCAGCTTCTGTATATCCGCCCGCACTTGAACGAGCTCCGCCATCATCGCGTCCATCGCACGAACCTCGGCGTCCATCTTTAGCGATTTCTCATAAACCTCCCTCACTTCAGCGTCTCTCTCGGCCTTGACTTTAGCCGCAGTGGCCGATAGGTGCCGAAGCTCTTGATCAGCCGCCGCCAGCTCTTGCTTGAGCGCCACGTGACTGGCTGCAAGCCGTTGGTTATCATAGATTAGCGTTTGAATCTCTCGGTGCTGCGCAGATATCCGATCTTCGACAAGGATTGTCTGGTGAGCCCTCGAAGAACCACCAACGGAAGACGAGTGAGAAAGACGATGATGAGCTCGACGATCGTCAGTCGGGCTTCGGCTCAACGGAACTTCGCGTCGTTTCAAGGCATTCGGCTGATGGCTTCGTCCAGCCATGCCTGTAGATAGCGCGTTCCTCCTCTTTCGATTCTCTTCGTTATTCACAAACAATCAGATGAAATTCGAAGCCAAAACGATCGGAGATATCGAATTTTGGCGATGGCAGTTCACATTTTGAATCCTTATTTGGAAGGGTTCCGTCCGGTCGTCGTTTGGTTGGCCGGTTGCCGGGTTGCAGTGGCGGGTGCGGCGATAATGTGTACCAATGGGCTTCACTTCCTGGGCTTTACGCTCAAACCCATTTTATTATGACTTTATTATACACGATTATGAACCCACCTCCCAGTACGGGTAATTTACACGAATACCCTTTTTGCTACTTTGTGTTATAAAATAATAAAATAATAAATTATTTAACACTAAAATTAACCTCCATCAATGTCTATTAAGAAATATTTTCATATTTTAAATAATTTCTAAAGTTTTTGTTCATGTTATTAACATCATTAATGTTTTTTTCTTTGAGAAATCGCTTTAAAATAAAATAAGAAATTATTCACTAATTTTATTTGATTTTTTCATACAAGGATAAAACCACAATTCACGCATTTAAGTAATTATTTACAAAATTAGGTCTCGGTGTCATTTCATATAAAATGCTCATCCCCATTTTCAGACTTTGAAGAACTAGTCTTTCCCGCCAATTAACTAATGCCGTGTTCAGTTGCGGAGCAATACTCTCTCTTTTGTTCACGGCTTAGAAGCCGAAGGTTTGGCTATTCACTCTTAATTCTAGCTCATTCATTCGAATTTCCATTGATAATCTTCCGTATATTGTCGATTGTTACATTTTCTTTCATGCTTTATCGCTTATGATTTCCACAGATTAGATGATTCTACTCTGCGAATTCTGGAATTCTTTTCCGCTTCCAAAGACACGATGTCGTTGATGGATGTCAAATCCGGAGTAAAAGAATTACTCAGCTTTGAATCTCTATCTATCATTCGTGAAACTGTTGAGAAAACTGATGATCAAAAGCTTCTAGTCATCGAGTTTCTTGTTCGAGCTTTTGCTCTTGTTGGAGACATTGAGGCTAGTATTCATTTGCATAAGTCTCTGTGATCGTTCAGAACATCAGAAATTGTGCTTTTAGATTAGTCTTTTTTGTTGTTATTTTGTTTAGTCTAAATATGGTATCGTGTTAATAAAACCGTGGTTATTCACTTTTGCTTGCTATCTAAGTTTTGGTGCTTTCTAAGATTTCATCGTGGGAGCACCGCAACATTTCCCCTCCTTAAATCACCTAGTTTTGGTATTTATATTCTATGCTAAATGATGAACTTGTTAGCAGATGTGACTACCTATTTCTCTAAGTTCAGCTTACACTTCTTATGCTTCTAGAGTTGCTTAGCTTTGAGATATGAGGCCTTGAATTTTCGGGAACTGAAGTCTTTTAATCAACCAAGGCTTCAAGTCTCACACGCGGAATGGTTAAACTTCGCTGAGCATTCATTAAACGCTGGCTTTTTTTCAATTGCTATAAAGGTAAGGTAATTTCTCCTATTTATGCAACTGCTTAAGATTTTCTTTAAAACTTTGGTTAGGTAGAGGAGCCTGTCCATTAAAAGTTCTATATATTATGTGTGTTGGATCCCTTATGTAGCTAAGCATATTGAGTATGTGAAATGTGAAGTGAGATTAAATTCTTAGTCGAGATGTATTTGTCTTTCGGGAAATTAAGAATCGAGCTCTACAATTTTGGAGATTTGCGGAATGGTGGTGCTAGTAGTTCATAAGGAAAAGCTTTGAGTGGAGAATTCTTAAATAGGAAAGAATAGCTCGGCATAAACGCTAATATTGTGGCTAAGTTTTAAGAAAGAGGAAGAGAATATCATCAAATGCATGTGGAATGCATGTGAACTGCACATGATCCAATGTAACTAACTTGAGGTGCCTAATATACAATATCAGAAGAAAATATGATGCATGACATTACAACAAATCCTATTGCATAACGTTCTCCTGTTATGAGGTTGGTCATTAAGTAAAGAAAACAATAGGTAAAGAGAAGCTTTGTCAGAATGTTTTCTAGACTAAAAATGGTTTGAATTGAAGAATATGCTTATTTATTACATGCTCACGAACAAAATGATTGTAGGCCTCAACGAGTTTGGAATAAACACTGTTATTATAGCAAAGTAAAATCGATGGCGAGAAAGGAGAAAAACATACTGTCCGTTGCACAACTTCTACCCATTAGTGCAACAACATTAATTTTATTTCTTCCATTCTATCAGGTTAAGTTGGATGTGATCAAATCTAATCTAGATGCACGACTCTGTTTTTCACCGTATACCTATTAACTTTTTGTTTTTGTCATTTTTTTCCATATCTTGTGTCTTATTGTCGTATTTCAGCTCTAATCTTTAGTATTCAGTGGGTTTTTCTCATGATACAAAGAAATGATGGTGAATATTCAATTAGAGTCTCATTCAATACGGTGAACGTATTTACATTTTTTTTTTACAGGCATATGAGCAAGCACTGTCAAGCCTTCAGCAGAGTGATACTGCAAACTACACATCACATGGTTCCTCTAAATGTGCGGAAGTTATTGAGAAGATAAAGAGACTCAAAGATCATGCTCTGAAATCAGCTGGTTCCCATTCTGGTAGGGATCTTAGTTGAGTTAAAAGATTTGATGATTAAATCAATCACTAAAAGTGACTGCATACGTAGAGTTCGATTTTGATTACGAACTGACTATTCCATTTTCTGTTAGAAGGCCTTATATCCGTTGACAAATTGACTCTCATGAATGAGATTTCTGACGTCCTTGAACCTTCGGCTTTCTGACCCCCTTTGTTGTTGCAACGTAACCTAGCATCCAGTTCTTTCATCATAATACTATCTTCAAATGCCTGATGATTCAAAGGGAATATAAAGAAAATAAGATAAAATTAGTGCAAATGCCTATTGGTTCTAATGCACCGTTTTTATAACTAATAGTATAGTCTGGCATTCAGATAATCTTGTGAAAATAAAATTAGGCTTCTAGTTCTTGCATTCATCTGATTCATTGCAAATTGTCTGATTAAATCAGTTCAGGCTCTCACATCTGAGTATTTGAAAAAGAGAGTAACTGAAAGGAACAGAAAGATTTCTTCATCCTGCACAAGAAAGTTTACGGCAAGCACTCTATTCAGAAATGGTATCAGAAACCATAATGCAAAAAGGCTGCATGAATATCAAGCTTTGGAGGGGTTAACCAGTGAATCGTACAAAATTCAGATTCATGATCAGTCCTACATATAGTCTCCTTGCATATCCACCTGACTGGATAAATGTTCAGGTTAGTTTTGCATGCATCGGTAACATGAGTAACTTCTCCTTTTATCAGTGTAATGGTTCTTTATACTATGTAGCTTTATAATGACAGTACCTATGTATTTGTGAAATCTGATGGGGTAGTAATCCCATAATTTGCCTAACTATGCTAGGAGTGAAAAACGGAGTACTTAGGAGTAAGGTTGAAATTGATGCCGTGCATTTGTTCTGTAACGAAGAGGGTGCCAGACTTGACTGCACGGGTGATGCAAGTGATGTTCGGTGAGAGTGAGTGAGGTAGGAAATAGATGAGTAGTTTTGCGAGAGAATGAATCTAATAACTTAATAGGGATCGTTGAGAGAGGAGTCCTACATCGGTTAATTAAGGGGAAGGTCATGAGTTTATAAGAAAAGAATGTTATTTTCATTAGTACGAAGCGTTTTGGGGAAACCAAAACCATTAAAGCTTATGTTCAGAGTGGACAATATTATACCATTATAGAGATTTGAGATTCCTAACACTTCTCTCAATGGTGGTTGACATAATTAGAAGAGTCTCTAACAAACTCACTGTAGCTGTTTTATCCTGAGTTTTTCTTTTTTCTTTTTTTTTTTGGAAGCGTCCCTACAAGCTGTTGGCACAAGCCGTTGCAGCTGCTATGTGCCTGCCTGAATAGATTAAGATATGAATCAAGGTCCATTTTTTTTCTCCATGCCAAAAGAATAGAGTTGCAGTTCAATAGCTCTTCCACCATGAATTTATTATTGCTTATATCAAAGATTTGCTCTATAACTAAGAAACACCAACATTTTAGTTTGGCTGGCGTATCTGTGTCCAGAAGATGTGTATAAGTGCATGCTTGGGTAGATGCATTACCAGACGATTGTAAAAGCAATAAAAATACTGTTATTTTGACGCTTTTCATTTTTTGATTTTCTTACTGTTATTTTGACGCTTTTCATTTTTTGATTTTCTTACTGTTATTTTGACGCTTCAGAATCTGTCTGCTTCCTTTAGGCAATAGGTTACTCGACCTTTTTATCCAGAAGATGAAGTGAACTGCTACAAACTTATAGTTTCCATGTCTGGGAGTGGATCGGGGAGGCTCGCTGGCAAAAGAAAAGTGCTTCCACCGAAACTCCAGTTGAACTCAGTTCGGTGGAAGTCCAAGTCGCCTCTCCCCTTCTAACCGGTATCTTCTATCAATATCCAAATTTCTGCTTCCATCATAATGGCAATAGCCACCGTTGTTTTTGGGGAAATTTTCTAGCTCTTATTTTAGCTGCTGAATATGACCAAAAATCAAGGTGATTAAAATGCAATGTGGCCCAGATATTGGGCGCCCTATCTCTGGTCTTTCATCCTTCAAAATTACATTAGAGAATCGTTTCTAAATGTAACTTGGAAATTTCAAATTTTTTATGACAACTGTTTCGCCTAATATTGGAGATTGGTAGAATGTAGTCAGTGACCAGTGACCATATACCGTCATGGTTAGATGTAAGAGAAAAACTAAAAATGCAAGTTTCACCATGTATTCAAAGAATTAAAAGAGTGAGACATTGAGATAAAACACAATCAATCAGATTCCATGTCTAAATTACTATTTGCTCTTCAACTTTCAAAATAATAAATTTCGTTTTAAAAAATCTATTAAATATTAAATTAAAAAATATTTAATTCATATGTGATAGATTGATTAATTTTTAAAAATTTTAAGGATCTATCCGATGTAGAATTTAAAATTTTGGGAAGTCTTGGGTGCAAAAATATACGGATCTACCTAAGTTGGCTAAATAGAGGCAAATTTTATAGTTCATACACCTAACTTAATTTAACCTTCCACAATTTAGAATAAATAGTGTCATGGTGATGTTTGTCTAAGGAGTGTTGCCTATGATTGTATATCGAATGTCTTGATCATACTTGTCTAAGGTGTGTTGCCCATGACTCCATGTCTGATCCAAACTTCATTTTACTTGCTTTTATGTTAGTTACGTCTTTACTATTCTTGTGTCGAAAGGGGACATGACTAATTGTCAATTCTTCTATCATAGATTGTCTTTACTATTCTTGCGTCGAAAGGGGACATGACTAATTGTCAATTCTTCTATTCTTCTATCATAGATTATGTTGTCAATTCTTCTATCATAGATTGTCTTTACTATTCTTGTGTCGAAAGGGGACATGACTAATTGTCAATTCTTCTATCATAGATTATGCGCTTTTAGAGATGCAATTGTTGTTTACTCACTTTTAGCCTATAACACTGTTTTCTTTCAAAATGCACATTTTATAAAACATTTTTTGTGAAACGTGACTCGAGACTTGAATATATGTCTAGATTGTCTGTAAAGTTTGATTTTCACACAAGTGACTTGTTGGCTGGGTTAGAATACAGGACAAATTGTATTATTTCTTTTAAATATTTTTGAGTTTTTCTACGGATGTGATTGGAGGGATCCACCATGGCTCACTTTTTGGAGGAGAAAAAAGAGAAGAAATTGCAGCATGTGCCATTAATATTAACTCGTACAAAACCTGCTCCCAAATAGGAAAGAAAAGAGAAGGATTTTTCATCGAAGAGAGAGAGAGAGAGAGATGGGTTACAGTTCGTTGCTGAAGAGCCCCAAGAAAGAAGGAGAAGAAGAAGAACAAGAAGTTCCAAATTCCATTTGGGACGATTTCAAAGCCTTTTTTGAGCTCAGCAATGAGGAAAAGCTACCGCTCCAGCAGCAGGAGAATTTTTCCATCGTCAATGGCGGTCCACTCAATTGGGACTTGATGGATCATCATTCCAACCACCAGTTTTCCCTCTCTGAAACCAAAGCAAACCACGGCGGCCATGGCTATGGCATCGAGGCGGAGGCGGAGGCGTTCAGCCGAGTCGTCCCAAAAGCTTGCTCCTTCGACGGCGATGGCGTTATGAAAAGCAAGAAGAAGGCTTCGTTGAACTTAAATCTTAACTACGAAGAGGTTTCGGAAGCATGGTCCGGCCGCGGATCTCTCTGGGCCGGCGGCGGTTCTTCTCCTTCCAACCCAACCCACAACGTTTATGTAAGTTGTAATGATCAATTATCGTATTTCATTCTCTATATTTATATGCCCATGATCCTTGACTACCTGTATATATATATATATATAAAATATGGTTGTAAAACAGATGGGAGAGGTTCCAAGAATGGAGGAAGAAAGAACAAGAAGGGTGCTGAGGTACAGGGAGAAGCGGCTCACCAGATTGTTCTCCAACAAGATAAGATACCAAGTTCGTAAGCTGAATGCCCAGAAAAGGCCCAGAATAAAGGTCACCCATTTCACTAAATGCTTCATTCCAAACCCCAACAAAACCTTAATAAAATTGTGTGTTTTTAGCTTTCATTTTGTTTTTTTTGTTTTGGCTCACAGGGGCGTTTTGTGAAGACTGTTTAGCCACAAAGTTCAAAATATCTCACCCAAAAAAGAAAAGTATCCTTTTTTTCTTCCCTTTTTTCTCTGTGAATATGCTTTCTTTCTCCATTCATTCTGTGCATGAAAATATCTCAAATTTTGATTCATTTCTTTGATACTCACAACAGCTTTCCTGTGGCTTTCATTGTCGTGGACCCTCCAGACCCCAACTTGCCATTAAAGACACGCTCTGGATTGACCATTTACTGATATCACTCCCTCTGCAAGCATATATATTATAGCAATAGGGCTGCAGATTTAGACAGAACTTTGATGGGGATGTGTCGTTTCGGGTCTGATTCGGAGGAAGTCCCGAGTTCGAAACCTTTGAATTTGTAAAACTAAGACCACATTAGCTTAATTTGTATTAATACTGAGATTAAGGAGTTTCGTCATCTTTGTGACTGTGTTTTGCTCATGGGACCAAATTTGAGAGCCAAGTTGAAAAGCTATGAATATGAATTTGGAAGGGACTAAAGTTGTGATTTCAAAAGTGGAGGGATCTAATTGAATTATTTAAAAAAACATAAAGTAAATAAAAGCAATGAACTTTTTGCATGTGATTGAAAGGGAAGCCTAAGATATTTTGTAGTCTTTTTCATTGCTACCTTTCTTTTCATTTTGGATTTTTCTAACTTTCTTGGTCCTACAAAAATACCCAAAAGTGAAGAGCTATAATCATCACATGCTTTTAATTTTTGCATCCATTCATTGCTTTTTTTAATAAAATAAAATAAAAAGTTTTAAAACTCACTTGAATCTCTAAATCAACAAACTAAAATTCCTCTTTTTTCTTTTTCTTTTTTATGTTTCATGAAATATTAATGAGTAAAGATTAAATAGTCTTTTGCATTGCATAAAGTTAGGAATGGGACGTTAAAGAATTAAATTAAATACTTAAAAATATAGACTAAAATACAATAAATATATATAAAAAAAATTATACGTAATAATAATAATAATAAAAAAATCTCCATTTAAATTATGTATTGATTAATTATTCTATAATATTTTGTTCCAACATTCTCTATTACGACTAACTTATGTATTGCGATCTATATTAGCTCTTACTTCATCAAGCCACTCTTCAATCTAATGCTTCTCCTTAAGAAAACGGCTTCTTGATTCATTCATGGCTGTCAAACTCCTTGCTTTGAACCCCAATTTCTTGATGAATAGTTGTGCTTAATTCATGAACTTGAGATATATAATTTTATGGTATATAGGTAAGCAACCTTCTAATGATCATAACTCTATGCTCGGTTGCCAAAAATTGATAAGTTTTAGACCCCATGTCTTTATAGAAACGATAACTAAAGATTTTGTGAAGAATCCGAATCTATTCTATATTGAACTGTAAAGAAACAAAAAGAGAGGAGCAAGACATGAAAAGAAATGCAAGAATTTGGGTTGGAGAAAGAAGATGATGACCAAAGAAGTCAACAGTCAACCTAAGCCTCTCTTATACCTCTTCCTTTGATTTTTAAGTCTTCCAAAATCTAATTTTCTAGTTTTCTAGTTGTTACCCCCTACCTAATCAAATATCATTTTATTTTAACTTCTAAAAAAAAAATTATTATTATGAGACGGTCACGCTGTGACATCCTCATTAAATAATTTATCTAATGGATACTAATATGAATTTAACATCATCATGATCGAAGCTTATACAATTAACTAAATTAACTAGGTTAATTTGCTAATGTTAAAGAACGATGTAGGTATACTTTTAAAAATTACAATATCGTTGAAATTACCTGAATTTTGCAAGATATGGAAGCCATCTTCTTTACTGCCTGGTCAAACAACATGTCAAATAATTAATTAAATTCAAGAACTAAATACAAACCTTGAGAATTAAAAATAAATTTCATGAACTAAAAATTGATCTTGTACCCAAATTACTTACAAGTATTGACATTCCAAAACCATAATCGCCGCGGTTGGCGGGCTCAGATGCCGCCGTCATAGTATTAGGTTTCTATCACGGCGAGATCGAATGACACGTGGACTATGCGGTCAACAAATGATGGACACTCATAAACGACAAACGTAGCAAAACCTCTTTGGTTAATACCCGAAAGCTCATTCCACTAAGTTTTGCGAGGGTTGACTTTCTCTCTCATTTATCTTCAGCTCAGAAATCATTTCCGATGGCCGGAATCCACGTGGTGGTGATGCCTTACCCCGGCCGCGGCCACATCAACCCTACGATGAACCTCTGCAAATTGCTCGCCTTAACAAAATCTGATATTCTCATCACCTTTGTCGTCACCGAAGAGTGGCTCGGCTTCATCGGCGCCGATCCCACGCCTCCAAATCTCCGGTTTGCCACCATTCCTAACGTCATTCCGCCGGAGAGGCTGAAAGCCGCTGACATCCAAGGCTTCAACGAAGCTGTCGTGACTAAGATGGAAGCTCCATTCGAGCAACTCCTCGATCGGCTCCAGCCGCCGGTGGATGCCATCATCGGCGATTTGGAGCTCCGTTGGCCGATCGCTGTCGGACGTCGGAGGAATATCCTGGTGGCCACGCTCTGGACGATGTCGGCGACCTTCTTCTCGATGCTTTACAGAGCCGATATTTCCTCTCGAGTCCGGCAGCTGTCTTCCAATTGGATTGGTACAATATTCCTGTGAACTGTATACCTACGTCATGCCATTGATTTTGTATTAATTCATAATCCAAAGAAAAAGAAACCTATTATTATGAATTGTCTTCGACAGCTTAAAAGATCTAAGTTTTTTTTTTTTCTCCTCTTTGACAGAATGTAGATGGAGTAGGAGAACATGAATCAAACCTTAAACCAACCTAATTTTGATCTATTGCGTTGTTATTCTTGGCAGATAAGAAATCTGTTCAGGAATAGAATTATGGGAACACGTCAGTTGATAAATCTTCTATGTAAATGCAGATCATGGTGTTGAAGTGGATCAAATTTCAGGACTTTCTTCAACCCATAAAGCCGATCTTAGGAAAGTGTTTGAAGAGAATGATGGAAGAGTGATGGAGATTATCTTGGATTGCATATCCAGGGTGCCAAAAGCAGACTGCCTATTATTCACTTCTTTCTATGAATTTGAACCCGAAATGATGGAAGCTTTGAAACTAGAATTCCCATTCCCTATCTACCCGATTGGTCCTGCAATACCCTATTTTGAAATTGAGAAGGAACCTCGAGTAGCTAATGATAATGATGGCTACAATTACCAACAATGGTTGGATTCCCAACCTGCTGACTCTGTATTGTACATTTCATTGGGAAGTTTTCTTTCGGTCTCAGCTTCCCAAATGGATGAAATAGCTTCTGGGCTACGAGATAGTGGCATTCGGTTCTTATGGGTGGCTCGAGGGGAAGCTCCTCGGTTGAAGGAGCGATGCGGCGAAAGGGGGTTAGTTGTGGCATGGTGTGAACAATTGAAGGTCTTGTGTCATTCCTCAATAGGTGGGTTCTGGACTCATTGTGGCTGGAATTCAACTCTGGAAGCTGTTTTTGCAGGGATTCCTATGCTTACTTTTCCTCTGTTTTTGGATCAAAATCCCAACAGTACCCACATTGTTGAAGACTGGAAAATTGGGTGCAGGGTTCAAGAAACCAAGGTTGGAGCTGAAACATTAATTTTAAAAGAAGAAATATCAGAGATTGTCCAAAGGTTCATGGATCTCAGCAGCCCTGAGGGAAAGCAAATGAGGGATAGAGCCAAAAGGCTAAAAGAGATCTGTCACCGAGCAACAGGGGAGGGTGGATCATCTCGCCAAAACCTGGATGAATTTATAAGGAGCATTTCAAAAGGTGACACCAAATAGGATGGATGTCATCTATTCTATTCTGTCTAATACTTGGGATTCTCAATCCAAAGTTCACACCCCATAGTGTTCTGTTCTGATTGTATTACAGTGTTTTGAACCGATTGGCTTTTTTCTTCACTGTTAAGGGTTGGCACCATCTTGTGAAATAATGCAGGTGTAGTTTATTAACATGGAGAAGATTTGGTGTAAGAATTATGCTATAGGATAAATGTTACGAAGCTACGGACTTCTACAATGGTATGATATTGTCTACTTTGAACCTAAGTTTTCAAGCCTAATAGCAATGAAGATAGTATTCCTTACTTATAAACTCATGATCAATCTCTTAATTAGCCGACGTGGGACTCTTCTCCTAACAATCCACGGCAATAAATAATTAGTTTCCAAGAATGAGTTATGGAGCCAGATTATATACCGTGTTTCATTTTCATTGTGACCTTACTTGAGAAAATGATGAGCTCGTCTGCTCACAACCTGACCGGGCAACCGAGTGATATCATCAAATCTTCCCCCTGTTCAGAGAGTTAAACTAATGTAAATTAATGGGAAGTTAGCTTACATTATGCGAGTCAAAGCCTTGCCTGTAAACTTCATTCCCAGTATTTTTTTCTAGAAAGGAACATCATAACCCTGTGTGGATTTAGTGGAAGAAGACATCCATGGTAAGGAAGCGAATAGAGAAAGTGCAAACTTTGGCTAAGAATCACGGACCTCCACAATGGTATGATATTATCCATTTTGAGCATAAGCTCTCATGGCTTTGCTTTTGGTTTCCCCAAAAGACCTCATACAATAGAGACACTGTTCCTTACTTTTAAACTCATGATCTTTCTCTTAATTAGCTAATATAAGACTACTACTCTCAATAATCCTCAAGAATCCTTCCCTCAAACAAAGTACACCACAGAGCCTCCCATGAAGCCTCCTTCTCTGGAGCTCTCAAACAGCTGCCACTTAATGAGGCTCAACTCTTTCTTTGGAGCCTTTGAACAAAGTACACTCTAATGTTCGACACCTAAGTCACCTTTGACTACACTTTTGAGGCTCACAACTTCTTTGTTCGACACTTGAAGATTTTATTGGCATGGCTAAGTTAAGGGCATGACTCTGATATTATGCTAAAAATCACGGACCTTTACAATAGTATGATATTGTCCACTTTGAGAAAAATTGACTTTGCTTTTGGTTTCCCAAAACTCATGATCTTCCCCTTAATTAGAGAACGTGGGACTGCTACTCTCAATAACTTTCGGGTCCGAAGTAACGATGCTCGCAAAGGATTGTACCTTAGATCTAGCCTCCAATGAATACGGTGATTCAAAGGCTTTATTCGCTGAATGACTACTTGGCAGGTTAGGCAGTGCCTTGGCTAGCATCAAGAAACGAAATAATCATGGTCAGGCTGATTGAATAATTGAGACTAACCTTCCAACAAATACTGAATCAGATATCAGATACCAGATACCAGCCTCAACAATATTGCAACAATCTCATGGTTCAAAACATTATCAAAAAGTGCATCCGAGGCCATCACTAAAGTATCTTCCCCATTACCTCCACAACGCTAACCTGTTTCCAATACTCAAACATGATATATCTGTCGATATCTGTGATCACTGTGCAATTAAAGCTTATAGACGGTTTAAGGAAGTGGTTAAGTAGCTAACCAAATTTCGAGGTCTAAAAGATAACCACGTAACACCAAAATCTCATGGCATACTCCCTAGTTTATGATTTGGTCGTGTAAATTAGGAAATACCAATTCCTTCGGGTGGGGAAGATCATTGGTCACACATACAACGATCACAAAATAGAACAGCTCGTTTTCTCCATTTCAGCCATCAATTCAAACCTTCTGACTAAAAAAAATTGACCTAAGGAAATCAAGTTTATGTTTATATAAAGAAATGAAGATTCAGAACCGAACAGTTGAAGCCGGATTTGAAGATAGAATTACTGACTGAAAATGTGCGTCATAGTAATAGATCGACTGGTGGCGAAATCCATAACTCATCCGGCTGAGCACCATTTACGTAATTCAAAATTTGCTCAACAAGCCAACAGTTCCGGGAGAAGAGGATTCAATTTTCAATTGGAAAGCGATAATGCTTGAAGAGATAATGATACAGAAAATAGTGGAGGAAAATTTCAATACGGAAACAGAACTAAACAACATACCGAATATGGGCGAGTTCAGGTGGAGCACAGAAGAGGAAATTCCTTCCCTTCGAAAGTTGAGAGAGTCTTGGAAGAGAAAAGGAAGGGAAATGAATAAGTGGTTGAGACTGAGGAACTGAGGCATCGTCCATGGTGGGCGAGTGCCGCCATTTCCCGCTTCCACATTTCTCGTGTTTTACCTCTCACTAGAACAGGACTAGATTTTATTAAAATCGATTCGCGTTATTGCCAACAAGCACCAGTGGTCTAGTGGTAGAATAGTACCCTGCCACGGTACAGACCCGGGTTCGATTCCCGGCTGGTGCATGTCCTTTTTTTATAAAATTGTTTTCCATTTTCGTTAAAATTTATAATTTTAGAAGATTTTGTTTTTATATGGCTGGCTTTAGATCCTTACGATCGGATGCACCTGCGCCGAGTGCCCTAATTAGCCATCGTCGCTGCTCGTTCCGATTCGAGAATGAACGCATCGTTGAATTCAGGAATGGTTTTCTCTGAAGGTACATACAAAGATGGTTTTTCTGTTTTCTGTTCTTTGAAGTGATTCAATTTTCCTGAGTTCTTTGGTCGCGATGTTTCTCGCAGACATAGCCGACGGAAGTGATTCGGATACGAATTCCGCTGAAGGATCGGATTACTACGAGCCGATCTCGGCCATTGATGGTGAAGAATCCGATGAAGCTGGATCAGATGACGAACCTTACAGCTCCGATACTCATTTGCACCATTTACCCAACGGTTGCCGTGTAGAGAATGCAGTTTCGTCTCTTAGCCTGAACGACGATGTGGAGAGAAGGTGCAGTGATGAGGAAGAGGAGGAGAGCATGAGAGAGGCTTCTGATTCAGCGATTAGAATGGCGTTTAGAGAGGATGAGACTCGGAGAAATGCGCCGCTGTCGCCGGAGAATGCGACGAGGATCATGGAGGCCATGCGCGGCATCTCATTTGGCGGCTCTGCTCCAGATTGGACTCGGATTGTATCTGAGGATCGTTGGATTGATCAACTTCGAAGGCTTAGGCAAACCCCTACCTCTCCCAATAATTTCGGAAACTGAGAGATGGAACTCTCATCATCTCAAAATTCAGATCCTTCTTCTTCTTCTTCATTCCTTTAGTTTAACATAGAATTGTCATATGACTCTCCGATAATCCTCTTGAATAAAGATCCTTCTGGGTTTTGGTTCGCGAACAGTTCATCCATTTCCCAATCACATGCGCTTTCTTCGATCTCATAATTAAGTGTCAACTCAACTTATGCTTGAAAGAAAACTGAAGTCATGACTTTCAAGGGAGCTGCTTGCTTCAAGCTACAATATGATGTCTGCACTTTTGTCTAATGGCTCAAAGCTCAAAATAGAGAATTGAATTGGTGATATGTTAGATCATATGTTTCTCGGTTCTTGAATTCAAACTCTCTGGCCTTCCTTCCCCTTTTGTTTTCTTTGATTCTTGTATCCTATGGAGCAGAAGTCATCTGTAATATTTGATGAAATTGAAGTAAAGGACTGATGGAAGTTTCCATTATCATAAGGAGGGGCAAAATGTTGTATAAATTATGGCTTAAATGGTGGGCAGTTCAATTATATAAAAAGAAAATACGAAACATTTCCTTAACTCACGTTTTAAAAATCTTGAGGGTACTCTAAAAGGAAAAACAAGGAAAAACCCAAAGAAGACAGTATGTGCTAGCGATGAACTTGAACTGCTACAACAAATAGTATAGAGTTAGACATGAGACTACAAATGGTAGAGAGTTAGACATGAGGTAATGTGCTAGCAATGAGGGAAAGCTAGGCTTGAACGGTCACAAATGGTATTAGAGTTAGGCATAGGCATGGGGCAATGTAGCAAGGAGAGAAAGCCCAAAAAAGATAATATCTACTCGAAGCTTCCAATTTAGGCCGGAGATTATTGAAAGTTGGTAAGGAGTAATAATTTCAATTACTTCAAAAAAAACTAGTCAGATGAGATAACAAACTGCGTAAACAAATCAAAACAGAAAACATAACCAACTACTGGTTCAATTCAAAATTTAACTCATGAACTGTCGTAGCAACATACATAAAGATTCTCGTGCACTTGCTTTAGAAACTTGAAGCTCTAGAACTCATTGTAACATCTGGACACATAAGAAGGAGCATAGAACTAATCTCTGTTTAATGCTGTTGGCACTAATGGGGAGATGGGCAAAGCAGATACAGAAAGAACTCTGCAGCCATGAGTGAGTTGTTTGCTTCAATCTAGACTTCATTAAGCTGCAACATTCTCAATATCTGCACTTTTGTCAACTCTTTTGAAAATCCCAGCTATAACCTGTTTACCCAACCCAACGTAGAAAATATTTGTGAGAATAACCCAAGATATATTTTCCCTAATACAAAAAGGGTGACCTCAAATTGGTGTAGAGTTTCATACCTTTCCAGGGCCCAATTCATAACTCTTCTTCAGCCCCTTGTTGAGTAGAGTTTTTACTGTTGTTTCCCACAGAACAGGAGAAGTCACCTGTAGTTTTGAAATGGGAATAATGAACAATGTCAGCATTGATTGCCATACGGAACAAACCATGCTGATTCTGACCCCTAAACACAGTTAAAGGGAAGATGCCATGTGTAGTCTTCATCCTGGAAGTTATGAGTTAAGTACCTGGCGTGCCAAAATTTTCTTAATTGTGTCGGGATCTGCATGTGGCTGCGCGTCGACATTGGAGATGACTGGTATTCTGGGAGTTCTGATTTCTGTTGCTGCAAGTGCAGCTTCTAATCTTGAAACAGCAGGTTCCATGAAACTAGTGTGGAATGCACCGGCCACAGCTAGGCGTACCTACAATTGAATGGTGCAGCCATTGCCATTTTAGGTCTAACGGGACCTTCAAAATGCAAGTTCCATTATAGATAACATATAGGATAGATACCGTCATTCGAGCTTTGAATGACTTTGCTTTGGATTCTACTACTTCTACTCCTTTAAGACCTCCTGATACAGCATAATTGCCCTG